AATTCCATCTTGACTATCTACAATCCAACACATGATTCGTATCGTACCTGATACACGCCTTTATAGTCCTCCTGTTACGGAGGACGTTTGACGTATTAAAAGTACGCAACTCCTCATGTTGGATTCCATAGCCATCTCAGGTCACAGGATCCAATCATGGAACCATCACATGAGATTCAAGTCATGACGCTAGTCCATGTGACAATCTCATGCGGATCAATCTAGTATTCCGTTCTCCAACGAATACCTATGATTGTGATCGTATCCAATACCCATGATCATCTTTATGACCATCTATCACACATCATACTAGTCTTAGTACATCATTGTTCCCACAACGATATATGACTAGGTAGTTTAGTATTGTTCATAACAATACATGGATTTCACAACATATTATAGTATGCAAAATATGTAATGGATCAAACACTCATCCATATAACCATAGCAAGTGTCAATACATCGAATGTATCTTAATAAGGCTCATACAACAGTACATCATAGAGCACTAAGCCAACAATCTCCCACTTGCTCTACTCATAGACTGCTAAACATCTAATGTCCATATCCCTAACATGACCCTCATGCTTCGACGAAGGGAGAGGCTTCGTCAACGGATTGGCAATATTGTCATCTATCGATACTCTGCATATGTGCACGTCTCCTCTGTATATGATCTCCCTGATGAGGTGAAATCATCTGAGTATGTGTTTGGATCGTTGATGGGACCTGGTTTCTTTTGCTTGTGCGATTGCACCATTGTTGTCACAATACAGAGCAATGAGGCTATCATCACTAGGAATGACACCCAAGTTGCCAACGAATTTTCTGATCCAAATAGCTTCCTTTGCTGCGTCCGACGCTGCTATATACTCCGCTTTGTAGTAGAATCTGTAACGGTCGCTTTCTTAGAACTTTTCCAACTTACAACGCCTTTGTTCAAGCAGAAAACATAGCCAGCCTGCGATCTATAGTCATCCGGGTCTGACTGGAAATTAGCATCAGTGTAACCTCTTACAACGAACTCGTCTTTCGATCCACCGTATACCAAGAACACCTCTTTAATCCTTCTCAAGTACTTCAGGATGTTCTTGACGGCGATCCAGTGTGATTCACCTGGATCTGACTGGTATCTACTCTTAATGCTCAACACATAGGATACATCTGGTCGAGTACAAAGCATGACATACATGATGGATCCAATTGCCGAAGCATATGGAATCCGATCCATGCGTTCTCGCTCATCAGGTGTTGTAGGACACTGACTCTTGCAGAGAACTGTGCCATTTCTCATCGGTAAGGTTCCTTTCTTGGAATCTTGCATCTTGAACCGTTTCAAGACCTTATCGATGTAAGTATTCTGACTCAATCCCAGAAGCAGCCTCGATCTATCTCTATAGATCTTGATGCCTAAAATATAGGCCGCCTCTCCTAGGTCCTTCATAGAAAACTGCGTTCCCAACCAAGACTTTACATCTTGCAAGGTAGGAACGTCATTCCCTATCAGGAGAATGTCATCCACGTACAGCACTAGAAATACTACTGTGCTCCTACTGACCTCCTTGTAAACACATGGCTCGTTCTCATTTTGTGATAAACCAAACCTTTTGATTGCCTCATCAAAGCGAAGGTTCCACCTTTTCGAAGCCTGCTTCAGTCCAAAGATGGACCTCTAAAGCTTGTACACCTTCCTCGGGTTCCTTGGATCGACAAAACCTTCGGGTCATGTCATATACACATCCTCGGTCAAGTTCCCATTAAGGAACGTGATCACTTGCGTGACGAGCTTTAAATTTATACCCGACACACAACTAATCCGCAAGTATACGGATGTCGTAGTACCGGGGTCGAACACAAGGACTTAAGCGGTTAAGCTAGGAATCGACTAAAACTAGGAAAATGGAGAAAATAAAATCGGAGAATTGTTTTTTGTTGGTTTTCGTAAGTTGCAGAAAATTAAAAGAAAGAAAGTAAAATCAAAGACACTCACAATTCAAGAGGAGATAATCGATGGGAAAGGTTATGGGAATCGGGTTTCACCGATCATGCAAGGATGCCGTAAAGGATTATGGACCTAAATCATGCTCGTTCTAAGGTGAGGGATTCGAAGACTAAGGTCGGGTTCAGTTCTCTCAAACCGAAAACCCGCTATCCAAGAGAG